AAGATAGGAAAATAGAGGAGAATAAGATGAGGGGAGGAAAAAATAGAAGAGAGAGAAAAAAATATGAAAGGAGGGGGAGGGGAGGTAAAGTAGAAGAAAGAAGGATAAGGAAAGGGAGGAAGAAAATAGGAAGAAAAGAGAAGAAGTAAAAAGAGGGAAGAAAAGATGAATAAGAATAAGAAGACGGAGGGAAAAAAAGAAGAGGAGACTATGGAGGAACTGAATGAGAAAAAGATGGAAGAGGAAGAGAAGGAAAACGGAAGAAGGAAGAAGATGAAGAGAAGAAGATAGGAAAATAGAGGAGAATAAGATGAGGGGAGGAAAAAATAGAAGAGAGAGAAAAAAATATGAAAGGAGGGGGAGGGGAGGTAAAGTAGAAGAAAGAAGGATAAGGAAAGGGAGGAAGAAAATAGGAAGAAAAGAGAAGAAGTAAAAAGAGGGAGGAAAAGATGAATAAGAATAAGAAGACGGAGGGAAAAAAAGAAGAGGAGAATATAGAGGAACTGAATGGGAAAAAGATGGAAGAGGAAGAGAAGGAAAACGGAAGAAGGAAGAAAATGAAGAGAAGAAGATAGGAAAATAGAGGAGAATAAGATGAGGGGAGGAAAAAATAGAAGAGAGAGAAAAAAATATGAAAGGAGGGGGAGGGGAGGTAAAGTAGAAGAAAGAAGGATAAGGAAAGGGAGGAAGAAAATAGGAAGAAAAGAGAAGAAGTAAAAAGAGGGAGGAAAAGATGAATAAGAATAAGAAGACGGAGGGAAAAAAAGAAGAGGAGAATATAGAGGAACTGAATGGGAAAAAGATGGAAGAGGAAGAGAAGGAAAACGGAAGAAGGAAGAAGATGAAGAGAAGAAGATAGGAAAATAGAGGAGAATAAGATGAGGGGAGGAAAAAATAGAAGAGAGAGAAAAAAATATGAAAGGAGGGGGAGGGGAGGTAAAGTAGAAGAAAGAAGGATAAGGAAAGGGAGGAAGAAAATAGGAAGAAAAGAGAAGAAGTAAAAAGAGGGAGGAAAAGATGAATAAGAATAAGAAGACGGAGGGAAAAAAAGAAGAGGAGAATATAGAGGAACTGAATGGGAAAAAGATGGAAGAGGAAGAGAAGGAAAACGGAAGAAGGAAGAAGATGAAGAGAAGAAGATAGGAAAATAGAGGAGAATAAGATGAGGGGAGGAAAAAATAGAAGAGAGAGAAAAAAATATGAAAGGAGGGGGAGGGGAGGTAAAGTAGAAGAAAGAAGGATAAGGAAAGGGAGGAAGAAAATAGGAAGAAAAGAGAAGAAGTAAAAAGAGGGAGGA